TGAGCTTTTTCGGGTTCAGTGACCTGTGCCAATACTGACAAGTCGCGATTGGTGTCGGGAGAACAATACCAGCAGTGTAAGCCGCTTGCCAGATGTTCTCTAAGTGGACCCCCACTCTGCATAAATACGAGTGACTTCCGTTATCATAACTGGAGCCAGCCGTTTTGACCGGAGCTTCTTGTGCACACACCGAAAATTCACCTTGGCCATTAAAACGACAGAGTCGCGGGCTCGGATTCTTGCGGGATTCCGGTTATGAAAGGCACCAGCTTTTTTGAGGCCTTGGCACGAACTCCGATGTGCCAGGACATGAAATGGCCCGGGGGGCGTATGGCCCATCTGAGGAATTCTTTGGAGTAATTGAATCTGAACATGTTTTCGTCATCCTCGACATAGTTGTTGGTCAAGAGAGTGTAAACGTCGCTGCAAACCTGCTAGGAGTCTATGTCGCAAGTGATCCATTCGTAAGGGTCAGAGAGATTGTAAGGATCCTGTTTGACTTCGGGCAGCAGGACGGGCGGCTTGATGGGGCCCTCGGGTAGGGTCGAGTCTGTGAGGTCCTTGAACTGGCCCACGGGTTGAGTTTCCCAGAACTTGTGTCGTTTGGAGAGTGCAAGGGACTCTTGGACCCTTTTGGCTAAGGCATCGATTGATATTCCGTGCTCGTTTTCTTCTGGATGTACGTTTTCCTCGGTTGGTGCGTCTTTACTGGCCATTCTTGAAGTAGGCGAAGAGGGAAATAAGTTATACTGCTGCAAAAATTAGAGGCAAATTGCTCAGCAAAATTGCATTCTTTGATGAGAAGGTGTTCGATTGTGTATGTGCCATATTAAGTTTTGTAGCAGATTTATTGGGCACACAGTAGCACACAAACTAACTCATTAAAATACAGCACCTGTTGAGCTTTACTAAAAACATCATAATAAGTACTGAATACGAAGGTCTGAAAAACACATGAATACAGGGGATTTGCCAGATGAGATTAATGCTCTGTGGAATAAGATCAACAAAAAACGTACATCACAACATGCTAAAATTAAGCACACTTTTGCATCAAAATTGACTAAAGGATCCTCCCCTTTTCTTCCCCTCTTCCCTAAATGCCCCTGCAACAACATGATATATGTATGCATAGTAGGTTCACACCCACGTCTTATCATCTCCCGAAAAATTTCCGTAGCCTCACTTGCCTTTTGTAGCTTCACGAGCCCCTTGATCATCCCGTGGTACAAAGATATGCTTGGGCTCTCAATGTCTTTAAAAATTTTGTGACCTTCGTTCACCCTTCCTCGGCTCAAAAGCCCGTAGACAATTGACCGGAATCTCATTATCGGGCTCTATACCTCTCATTCGCATGTCATCAAACATGACATAAGCCTCTCCCATTTTGGCTTTCTTGCACAGCCATTTGATCAAAAGCTTATAAGTTGAAAGGCTCAAACACTCGGTTATGTTCGCCCGCGTCTCGTGGAAAAGCTTGAAACCCTCGTCAAACATATTTGTCTTGAAAAGGGTCTCCAACATGACTTCAGTCGAGTTTATATCCGGCTTGAAGCCCTCCTCCACCATTACATTCCACACCTTTGAGGCCTCGATTAAAATTGCCCACGTCACAAAACCCATAGATCAACCATCTGTACGTAGTCGCTTTGGGCTGGATCCAATCTTTCAACTTAACCACAACATGATTAGCCTCCAAGACAAGCTTGTTTCTGCATAAAAACTCTACCACGACGTTAAAGGTGTCAACTTTTTACAGATACCCGAACCCATTCATCAAGTGGAAAAATTCAACACACTTTTTTAGCTCCTAGCTGCAGCCAATGTTCTTAAAGCAATTATATAGGTCCTCACATTGACTAGATGAAGCTGACCGATTTCTCGACAGAGTTCCCATAAAAGATCGATGTTTCTTGATTTTCCGACCACGTCGAGGATCTTGTTGAAGGTGGTAGGTGTGTGGGCGAAATTGGTTTGGGATGTGGAGAATAAGTGAAATCTGTAAACGGGCTGCCATGAATATGGAAATTTGTTGCAGGCTTGGAGGAAAAACTCGTGGATACGGCCAATACAAAATTTTTACAGAACATTATAATCGATACTGAATACAAAGGTCTGACAAAACAATGAATACAGAGGATTTGCCAGATGGAAGTAATGCTCTGTGGAACAAGATGAAGAACAACAAAAAAACGTGCATCATCATAACCCACTCAAACTAATCACAGTTTCACACTACCTGAACAACTTAATAACTCCAAGATATCATTTTTCAGCTAAATCCCACATTTTGAACCGAGGCCCAGACCCGCAAGAGATAATAAAAGAAACTGCCCAGATTTCCCAACTGCTGATCGTATGCTAAACGATCACCGAGTACAAAGAAAAACTGCACAGCCATTCAAATAACCAAAAATCGAAAACTTGATTGAAAGACAAAAATCTAAAAGCATGGGATTGCGAAGTGCGTTTACCTGGCTGGCTGCTATGTATGATGAGGCCCCGCCATAGTCAACAACATCATCTTTTTCAATTCCAGAAATCCGCTGGCCAAACCTGTCGAGTCCTACGCAAAAGCGCTTACCGACGGTTTCTACATCCGCGGATTCCAGGTTTTCGAAACAAGCCGCTCATGAGCTCAATATTTTCTACTTTTGAAAAGGTTCATGAAATCTTTGCATTAACAAGTTGAATATAATATATATGATGTTTCTTATATGTTAACCAGACACCAGGAGATGCAGAAGCAGCATTTGCATCCAAAAACATTACGATTGTAATAAGAAAATTCATGACCAAATTCCAGCCAGAACCATTAGCTATACCCACCAACACGAGCATAGCCGTGTTTTTCGAAGGTCCTCAAACGGCATTGCCCTCGTGGCTCACTCAAGAGGATATAGATTATTTTGCTTCTAAATTCGAGAAAACTAACTTCATGGGATGATTGAACTACTATCGAGCGCTAGACTTGTATGTTCTATAGAATGTTTCGTACACAAAGCTAATCGATGAACGAACGGACAATCGGATTTCCAAGAAGGAATTGTTAACTCGGTATTACTTACCTTCTCATTTTCATGCAGGAGTTGGGAGCTGACACCTTGGAGCACAAATTGAAGTGCCCGTCAAGTTCTTGATTGGCGAAAATGACATGATGTACCATTTACCAGGCGTGAAAGAGACCATAGAGACTAAAAGCTACAAGATGCTTATTCTTTGTCTAGAAGAAGTTGTGATGATGAAGAGAGTCGGACATTTTCCCAACCAAGTGAAGGCCGATGAATTCAACGAGCACAATTATAGCTTCATCTCCAAATACTAGTTAAAATATATTTACTTCCATGTATTGTTGAACTACCAAGAACTTTCATTATGTTTGATCAAACAGAAACAATAATTTTGAAATAAATTAAATATATGGAACTTTATATGATAGTATCGAGTCGTGTAATATACAACTCCAAACAGAGCATCTTTATTCTCGAAACAAATCTATTTTGAGCACTGAAGGCCTATGGTGATGAATTAAAGCACATTGTACAAATTCATAATCAGCAAATGCTACTAAAAATAAAAAAAGAAACCGCGAAAACATCTATTGTCATATCTGATGTTCGGCCGAGAACAAACTCAAAGTTTACATGCGGCAAAACAGAGGTCCTTCACTACGTAAAGACAATCAACAAAGTTCAAAAAAGAGAAGAGATATGTATAGAGTTTCATGCATCTAAATTTATGCATAGCCAACATCCCAATGAAAACAGAGTAACTGGGCATCATAAAATGAAAAAGAAAAAAAGAAAAACTGATTCGAAACAAAGAAAAGAGTTCTATTCGTTTATAGTTGCATGGAGAAGAGTAAACCAATTTCTAAATGAAACCAAACAGCGTGTAAACAATACTTCGCAAGAGAAGGTGAGCGTATAGAGCAAGATAGATATCAATAAAACTAAAGCAGCTCTTTGGTATTATTATTCACATCCCTCTCTAGAAACTTAATCTCGCATTCCGTAGAACCTGGCTGCAACTGTAAAATTCTTCTCTTGAGCGCATCAAACACCAAATCTTTGCATGGATAGTAAGGAAGCTTGATAACCTTCATCAACTTCAGGACTTCAGCATTTCTCAGAACATAACTTATGAATAACCATTCCTCCGTGCACTCGTATGGCTCGATCGCCACAGTTTTGAGATGCGATGATAGACACGTCGGAACTTGGTGGGGCTCCCTCCATTCTTTGATATTACCACATCCCTAAAGTAGATAGAGAAAAAGGGAATGGTCAGAAGCCCCTTCACTCTCATTAGAGACACAAAAAGGAAGAAAGCCATTGATTAAAGAATAAACAAAAAGAAAAGCTGACAAACAATTACACGGATCGTAAGGACTTGAAGATTATCAGCGTTCGCAAGAAAAAACGAGAGAAAATGCCAGTCTGCACTCAATGTGAGTTTGGTTAAATTATGAAACTTCCCAGTCAGAGCAGAGAATGTAGAGTCGGAAATCTGCAAGGAGGAAAAAAGAAAAGAAAAGGCGGTCATGAAACGGAAAGCCAACAACCAGAAATCACAAACAAATTAATCAAACTCTTACCTCCATCACTCCATGACATAAATCTAGACTCCCCACATTACACAGCTTGCCCAAAAATTCTAACTTAAAGCGAGATTCACAACCGAGAGAAACATTTGCCACCGCCAATGAACCAAGTGTCCCGGTAGAGATATTATCGAAAACATACTCGATCATGTTTAAAAACCTAAGCGCCGGAGTAAGTAGCTTCACCCAAAAGTACTTGTTTCCATCAAATCCATGGTCATCAGGTTGTATATTGAGCTCGAGCCTAAGTAGCGTTGGCGAACAAATCTCCAAATTTTCGGGCGTATGAAAATTAACTATGCTCAGCTCCTCAAGCACTGGGCAGCCAGATATCAGGCGGGGCAAGGATTCAGCCCCCTCAAGATAAAGCCTCTTAAGTGCCGGCAGGCACACATCGCCGGCCGCCGGGAGCACAACATAAGCACCGATACGCAATTCCACTAGGGTTTCACACATTAACAGGCAATTGTGCATCATAAACCGTATGGTATCATCAAAATAGGACAAAAAGATAGAGATATTCCTGACGTTGCGGGAAACGAGAGTGGCAATCCAGCCCTCGATTTCAAAATCGCCGACGCTATCATCATCTGTTAGTCGGAAAGTGTGTATCGTTTGCCCTTTGTGCGCCGACAAAACCTCGGTGACGATGTCCTCCAAGCGGCGGTCGAAGCAATCGTCGTTTCTGAAACTTAAAAAGGGGACGTAGGCCCACAGGGACCGCCATCTTCTTGAGAGGACGCTGGTGCACACAGAGAGTCGGGTGGTCGGGAGGAAAGAGAGGATGTGTACCAGAACGTCGTCCGGCAAGGCGCCGAGTCTGTCGAGCGGTGGTTGCTTCTCTGCCGGCATGGGCAGAATTGAACAACAACCGGAGTTGATAGAGAGGTGGAGGTGTGAATCAAACGTATAGAGGTTAGGGCTTTGTTGAATATTTTTTTTTTTTTTTTTTATATATTTTGACTTTATTTTTTATTTTACTTTTCTGAATGTTTTTGTATATATATATATATTAGTTTATTATTTATGGGAGACTATTATTGTGTTTTAAAAGTTTCCTTATCTTATTAAGTGTCTACTAGTATTCGATCTGTGCATTTGCACAAATATATAAATAAAGTATTGTGAGTTATTCGTATGCATATAATGGTTAATGATTTTTGCCAAATTACAATCAAATGAGCTGAAATATTTATTTTTTTAAATTGTGTTTATCATATTGGATGTAATTTATATTTTGATATGTATCTTTTTTTTGTGAATTATTTACTGTTTATTTAGGAATTTCAAATACGTTTTTTATCTTCCAAAAGAATTTAATTTAAATATAACCACAACAATAATATCTAATCACGTTAAATAGTCAACACATTATATGGTCAGCTTAAGTAACTCAAAAATTTAAAATGTTTTTTGTAGTTTTGAAGAGATTAGTGTGTTGATTATCTATTAATTAAATGAGAGGTTAAATAAATAAAAAGTAACGGTTTTTGGAGGGAAAAAATTATATTGCCACATAGGTATAATTTAATAGGTTTTATTAAATGCTCATGAACTAGTAATTATATATATATAGATTAGGAAAAGGAAGAAAAAAATATGAAGAAAATTGGCTTGGAGATTAAGAAAAGAGAGGGTAGCATCATAGTTTCTTTCTTAGCATGATTTATTTGATGATGTTAATGTGATATAATTTATATAATTATCAAACTCGCGTTTTGTGTTTTTCTGTAGTTCACTAGATGTTTTGAACTGTATGAAAAATTTTATGATTAATTTGTTCTTAGTGAAATTTTGGAATGTAACCTTAGTCTACTAGTATTTTAACTTGTAGGCTAAATTTTGAATCTTTCGTGTTTATTTATTTTCCGCTGCATATTTTTTTTTATCTTTGTGTGAAAATTTGAATTTTAAATTTTTTTAAATTGTATTACCTTTTTTATCTTTTCGGTAGCATAGTTTTTAAACTGACCCATTAATCGGCTCGGGCAGGTTTCTCGGTCACCTGGTAGAAACCGGATAATTAATTTTAAAATTTTTAAAATTATATATAGAGTAATTTTGTCATATAAATATATATAAAAGTAACAAAATTAAATATTTTGTGTATAAATTTTGTACATAAAAGTGTTAATAATATTTATATTTTATATATATTTACCATATAAACATATATACATAATTTTATCTAAAAAAAATAAAAGATAAAAAAATTAAAAAAATATATATGGGCTGGTTGACGCGGCTGGGTCAATGCCTCGGTCGGCTGTATCAAGGCCGGGTTTTGACCGAGTTTGAGCGGGTTCTTTGTTGTCCGGTCCAAATACCCACCCGGACCGGTTCCGACTCCGGGTCATCCCGAGTAAAAAAACCATGACTGTTATAACTCGTTTAATCAACGAACCGAGCTTTGTTATTAAAGATGGAAAATAATATGATTTATATAATTTTTAATAATTCTTTCTTCTTTTAAAAAGGGGATTAATACTGGTTCCCCAATTCCCCCCAGGTAACTCGAACTCGGGACATGGTACACGCCGAGCGAAGGTATGCGCCAGTGCGCTAACCCCTCTTCGTCTATAATTTTTAATAATTCAACTTGTTAATATTGATAAACGAGTTCGAGCTCGATCAGTGACTAATTAAAATTTTGAGTTCGGTTCAATACGTGTATAACTCTATCTATACTACAAGTAATATCACATATGGATAGAGTTGATTCATATTGGCATGAGTCATTGGACAAGTTCGACACTATGTATAATATAGCGATAGAATACCACATTACCAATTAGATGCTCTCATCCAATACAGATCCATGTATCACCAAAATTGTAGCATATTTTGATACCACAAAACATTCTCGTTTCATACAAAACATAGCAAGTTCTATAATCCTAAGGAAATTCATTTCTACCGTACTGCAAAATATATTACAAAACCGAGGAAGGTCACAACTCATAAGGCCATCTCCAATCGAATACCTCATACTCAAACCCATTTTGCAGTACATATCATATTTTGCAGTAATTCATCTCCAACCGAAAAACTCATTCTTTAACCCAAAAGAATATTCTCTGTTACATCAACTTTTACAACTTTTCAATACTACCCACATATTATACAACTTCACAACTTAAACCCATTGTTTCATATTTGATTTGAACAATATATAATAAATTTACTGTAAT